AAAATTGATAAATGCAAGTGGCGAAAAAAAAAGATATATATATATATATATATATAGATAAAATAAAGAAAGTTGGGGAGAGTGGGAAGCATAATAATGAGTCTGAGCTCAACAAGGGGCAGTGGATAAGATGTTGGGTCCATGGAGAGAGAGAGATGCTGCAGCTGCTCTTCTTCTCCAAAGCACCTCTCAAAATCAAATATCCATCCCAGGTCGTCTGAATTGATAACGCCGGAAATTTGAACAGAACCCAGCAACCCGCGGTTATTTGCCTTTCTTATATATCTGATCTACTCTCTTCTATACATTTTCTCATTTCTATATCTATAATAATTTAATATTTTTGTTGGAGAGGTCAGACGACAAACCAACAATGGCGTCGTCTCTATCCACCAAACAATTTCTCGGGTCTCCATCTTCCGACTTCGGATCTCTGCAACGCTCCGATCTCCGCAACCTCTTCTCTCCAACCCTCCATTTCTCTAATCTCCGATCACATCCCAAGAAGCTCGAAATACAGGCAGTTGGGAGTACATTTGGAACTTACTTCCGTGTTTCAACATATGGAGAATCTCATGGTGGTGGAGTTGGTTGTATCATTGATGGATGTCCGCCTAGGGTTTCCCTCTCTGAAGCTGATATGCAAGTAGACCTTGACAGAAGGAGGCCAGGTCAGAGTCGAATTACTACACCTAGAAAAGAGACTGATACATGTGAAATTTATTCAGGCGTTGCTGTCGGCATGACCCCGGTGAGATTGTGATGCAGAACCACCAATTCATCTCCGTGTATCCCTCTGTGTGTTTTATTTCAAAATCGAGGGAGAGAGGATTTAGGCAGTGATGGAAAGTTATGTGTAGAAAATAAGCGGAATAGGTTGAGGTCCGGCGGGCGGCTAAGGTGAGGTTGCCGCCCGCCGGGGAAGCGAAAATACTAGGTTCTAAACCTGCTCTGATACCATATTAAATTCAATGTACAAAGAGAGAAATACAGAGAGAATAATGTATCTATTGATGTTATATATGTTGTGTTGAGCTCTCTCCTTTATAGAGGAGAGGGAGAACAATTACAAACCGAAAGTAGAAGCACAAACCAAACAACATCATTAAAGGTACATTATTAAAGGTTTGACAACTAATATATATACTAATATATACTAACAGAGGAAATGACGTTAGTTGATGTGCATGAGTCAGATCTATTACCTGAGCCATAATTTATTGGGCTTGAGGATTTGAGCACAGATGTAAAAGAAGGTGAAGTTTATCCAACTGACCAGTAGCTGATCTTTGCAGAGCCACTCTTCATATGCAGGATTTGGCTTTGAAACCTTGACAGATCCATCGGTCTACTTTTAACGAGAAATCGAAGCCGGAGCACTCTATCTACTTTTCTGAAGCAGCAGTGGTTCCATCAATAAAATAAAGCCAAGCAATTGTTGACTGCGAACTAGAGGAAGCTGGAGCTCCCAAAGAATGAAATGGGTGCCGTCTAGTTTGATAGTCACCAAGTTTGGGATATTCTATTTTATAAGATTCAATTGTTATTGAAAAGATGAGATGATGTCTGCCCAAAAAAATAACACAACCATTAAGCAAAAATGCCCAAAGTGATACACTTCCCAACTATATTAATAAATTTATCAATTTAATAAATAAAGCTTACAATTACATAAATAAAAAATCTTTAAATTTTTGATTGGCAATTCCGTTTGACAAATACCTTTCAATTGTATTTTTTTCTCTTTCATGTAATTGTTGAGATTGCATGTGAGTTTAGACTGTGAATCCTTTCATAATTAATCACTTTCTTCGCTCGAGTGGTGGAAGTTGTGCTCGAGCAATGTTTATTGCTTTACAAGATCTTTACCTTAGTTTCACAGATGCTGCAAGGTTGTATTTATAGTGCAAGCGATGGAAGTTATGTTCAAGCAACGTATTCAATCTCTCAAGATTTCTATTTGAGTTTTGGTTTTGCTGCAAGGTAGTTATCATCACTCAAGCAGTTAAAGTTGCACTTGAGCGATCTTTACATGGCTACAAGATTTTGGTCTCAGTGCTATAGATAAATTTTTGTTGTTTGGGAATTATTATTGGGGTTGTTTGGTGCAACTGTTGAAAGAAATTATAGAGTATAGTTTTAATCAGAGGTTGTTAATTTGTTTGGTGAACTACTGGATTATAAATTTAAGTTGATGAATAGTGTTTTGTAAATAAGTTGTGAAATAACTTTTTGATGTGTAAATATCCTTTTTTACCCCTAGTAATTGTAAATTGAATTAGCCTTTCTTAGTTGTAAATTGAATTAACTTTTATTTTTTATTATTCCCTACTATTCCACATTTCCCATAAAAATAAAAATAAAAATAAAATTAATCCACAATTTATTTGGGTGTTTTTATATTTTCAAAAAAAAAAATATTTATATTTTAAGGGTATAGTCATAAATTAACATATTTACTACAAAATTGATAATTGAAAATAAGGAATGAGCAACTTTTCAAAATTAATTTTTTTAAAATTAAAATAAGTTGATAAAATCAAAAACTATTTGAAAGAAGTTTTAACTAAATAGTCTAAAATAACTTTTTAAAACTGAAATCTACAAGTTGACAAAAAAAAGGAAAAAAATAAATAAAATACACACACCAAAAACCCCCAATTATCATCTAGTGATTCGATTTGAAACATGATTACAAATTACAATATTGGGACCTAGATTTTTTCCAATAATAAAAGTGAGTAAGTTACATTAATAAATTTCTCATTCATAAGGCCTATACGTACATGAATTTTTTATTCGGAAGTTATGAGTACACAAGTCCGGTTTAGGGATGGCAATTTGAAACTGGCCCGATGGGGACCCAACCCCCCGACCCCGATTGGAACGGTTTTTCCTCGAAAAATACTCCCGATGAGCCGGTGATGGTATTTGAAAATAAATCCTCGACCATTTTTGGGGCAGGGACGATGATATGTTCCTCGACCCCGGCCTCGATTCCCCGAAATGAAATGACCATTATCAGCGGATCACGAGCGTCCCCTAGGATCAGAAGAGTATTTCCAAACCACTTCTCTACACCGGTTCCCCCCGATAAGAAATTAACATTGTACCCCTGTCTATATATATATATGTTTTCTCTCTTTCTTTTCTCATTTTAGGGTTAGGGGGACACTGACTGAGACACTCTCTCTTCTCTCTCACTTTCTCTCTTCTCTGTGCAGTCGGCGTCGCCTCCTTTCGTCACCCCACAGTCAGCGTCGTCTCTCCATCTGCTCCGTCACCCCACGTTCCTCCTCCTCGTCCTCCGTCGCCTCCTCTGACACAACGGATATCGCCTCCCTCTCTCTCTATCTCTCTCTCACTGGTTTGATTTTTTATTTTTTACATTTGAGGTTAGATCTGTTAGATCTGTTGAAAATAATGTTGTTGTTGATGATGTTGATGAATTCATGAAGAAAATATGGAGCTGATTTAATTGTTGTTGTTGTTGATGATGAAATTCTCTCTGTTAGATCAGTGTAATTGTTGTTGTTGTAGTTTGAAGAAATTATGGAGCTGATTTTTTTTTTTTTTTTTTCTCTTTTTCGGGGTCGGGGAAACCCGACCCCCAAAGCATACCTGACCTTGATCCCCGTTAAGGGGCGGGGGCGGGGGCGGGGGCAAGTTCCCCGTCGGGGTCAGGACTGGGGACGGTGGGAGTTTCCACTATCGGGGATTGGGGACGGGGAGGGTGATCCCCGACTCCGCCCCGCCTCGTTGCCATTCCTAGTTCGGTTGATTGGACCAACTAGTAATCATCCCAAATAAGTAAATAACAAGCTCAATGTTGGCCCAAACTATCTTTTCATCTTGCAACCATTAATTTTTGGGCCCCAAATAGATGTTACCAAAAAACGAAGCGGAAGTCCAGTAACAAAAAAGGCAAAGTTCATATTTTTGGGCCGAAGTTGGGCTTGGGCCTGACTGAGGAGATAAAAATATCGCAGATAAGATAATACAGTGAAAAGAAACCAAAAACAAAAATAAAAATGAGATACTGATAATTTAAAAATAATAATAATAATAAGAGGAGGTGGTGAGAAGGAATGACAAACTAAATTGTTTAATTCACAATTATGAATCAAACCAAATCACAAACAATTTAACTACATCTACAAACTCAATTGAGGCATGCGGTTTTAACATGGAAAAACTGAATTGGAGAGGCTCGAAAATCAATCACCTAAATAAACGAGCGAATATTACAAGAGTTTCTCACAATCCATCAGTGAGTCCGCGCTCTAAGGAGTTAAAGCAGCTCTCGCCGGATTCATATTCATTGCTCTCTCAGTATTGATCTCCAACGTGCCAAATCCAGAACACGGACTACCCCTCAGGAATCCACCATAAGTCTAAAGAAGTTTTCACAACAGTAGATAGAAGAATGAGCGCAAGCAGATCTTGAAATGATGTAATTCTACGCTTATGTAACTAACTTGTCAACATTGACTGCTCGAGCAATGAAAAGTAAGCTCTCTATGTTGCCTTAAAATTTAGAATGGGCAATGATAGTCAGTTCTCTACATTGCCTTCAACTGAGATGATACTAGTGGTGCAATTGAGCATTCAAATACTGCTCAAGCGGTCATCTACCCTTTTCCGCATTTGCACTGCAGACATTCCAAGTTGGCATGATTCAAAAAAGAATAAAAAATAGGCTCAAGAACATAAAATTACAGATAAATGAAGAAAAGAAAGTTCAACTCAATTTAATGTTTGTCATATGGGATTATCAACCTAAACTCCAGGACTCAAAACTTAACAAAGAAAGGCTTTTAATTAAAATGAACACTAGTAATTTCATTATTTTGGGTCCATCACACTTCCAAACTATATTCATTTCGACTTCACACACTCCTATCCAGCAACTACAGATCCCCTCGGGCAGCTTAGAACAACAAAAATGCAAATGAAATAATACAACTAGAGAGTTTAGGTTGTCATGTATAAGCAGAAAATAAAGCTGAGAAAAATGTCAAGAAGTCATTTTATTAATAATAACACAACAAAGTTTTAAACCTTACACACAAACCTAAGCACAACAAACACCCCCACTCAGTGGGTTAAGTTCAAGCAAATACAAAATTCTCTCCCAGAAACTAGTAGTAACAAGCCTTCAGAATTTTCTCCATTATAACCTGAATTAGAGGTAAACATAGATTAAAAGTGCATCTTCCTACTCCTAGTCAAGAAATTACAATAGCATGGAATCCCATGATGAGGTGATTTGCCACATTTCAATGGGACTTATACGCATGCCTCAAATGTTACCATTTTCTCGACCAAGCATTTGAACGACCTCAGCCACACCTGCAGCAATCTCCTTCTCGATGAGACCATCAGGCATATCAAATGTCCTCCTAGAAAGTGATTTGCCAGGAGGCTGGGGGTCAACCACATCAAGCATTGCTTCCAGCTCATCAACCATTGACCTTTTTGCAGATCGCACCATAAGATCAGCACCCTAACAAAGTGAGGAAAAAAAGAAGCAATTAAGAGCAGCGAGATTTGCAAATGGCTCATTTCTGTTTCAACGTAGTTAGGGAAGAGGCATAAACTTCAAAGCCTCGTATATGAAATACATGTGGAAAAGATAATGAGGCAATCAAGAAGCAAGTTTTGAACTATTCTTTTGTTATTTGACTTCATTTGGCAATTGAGAGGACAACAATATTTCCGGGTTCCACAAATGAGTAGCTCAGGGATGAGAGAATAAAAAGACTTTATAGAAGATCATGTTCACCACAACAACGAATAATCACTTCCTTGACATTTCAATTTTGATGCAAGAGTTAGCCCAAAGTTTTTAAAGGCGAACATGTAATGCAAGACGTTTTACCTCTCAGGAGGTGAGGTGTAAGCCTTAAGGTGTCAAGGAGGCATAAGAATTTCAAGTTTCAAATTTTTACATTTAGTAAATGAATTAAATATTTAAAATAGTAAAAATTAAATTAAAAATTAAATTTGAAGATATAAATACTTTTCTCCTCAAGGCGGCGAACACTTCACTACAAAGGAAGCTTATCCTCATTGAAAGTGAAATTGACATAATCTTAGCTTTAGTCATTAAACTTCTCACTTTAACCAGAACATAAGACAAATTCTTCACATGCATACTCCTCATATGCTTATACGCAAAAAGTGTACAAAATGCAGGCCTCATACTGTGATGGGCAAGCCTTTGGAAAGTATAGCCTAAAATCAAAGCCTTAATGTGTTTGCCTTGGGCTTGCCTCAAAGCGAGCGTCGATAAAGCCTCTTAAAACTTTTGAGTTAGCCACACAGACACACTAGCAATGCCAAAATTAATGGTCAGTGCAAAAATTGTAATGCCAAAATCAAATTCAAATTTTGGTAAATGTTGTCCCAATATTACATTTATATTTAGTTTTCTTCATAAAAATCAAATATAGATATCATTTATGGATCCAATCTAGAGAGACAGAGATAGAGATAGGAGCTTTTGCTAACCTTTGACATTGATATAATTTGGCATGGAAGATAGCACACTAATGAAGATGAATTTGAAAGAGTTACTACCAAATTTTATTTTCCATGAAGGATAGCACACAATTGAAGTTGCCATGATGATTGCCATCACAAATCACTAGCACTACTAACCAGGGAGTTAATCAAACAGCAAGGATTTGCTCCCATACCTAATTTTATTCCCCACTAAAACAAACTAGAACCTTAATATCAAATTTCAGCCAAGAAGGAAAAGTCACCAGTGCCATTGGCAGAGGCCTGATGGCTAAGATGTAAACGGGGTTATTGTAGACTTACAGGCATTAAGTTGATCCTTTTGTACCTGCAATTTGAAATTGTTGAACTTCTATCTTCTTTCAATCAAACCACCAACATCCAGATGCCTTGTGCATGAGAAGTGCAAATTCTCATCTGGCTTCACTTGTTTAACCTTTTTAAAAATAAAATTGTACGTGGCAGAGTGGGGCAAAAAAGAAAAACCAACCCAAAACCAATTGTCTATTTGGTTTCACTTTCAAGTTATGGTTTTTGAAAAATGCTTATAGCTAATTTGGTGAAATTAAACACCAAAAAGATGTAATAGAATTTTTAAAAACTATTTTTGCAGGGAAAAAAAATTGAAAACGACTGAATATTTTTGAAAAAAAAAATGTTGAAAAACCAAACTAATCAGAAGTGTTAGTGAAGAGTCAAGTGGCAAACAAACATCAATGCCAGTCAACTGCCATCATGCAGGAAGGTCCAAATAAGACACGTACATTCACAACAAACAATTAACACTACCAAATTAAGCCATTTAAATGTTGTCCGGGGTGCACAGCACCCACTATTGTGCAACCAAATTGGCCCATTTCAATAATCCAAACCGTTCATATTTTAAAATATATCAAGTAAAACATACCTACAAAAAATCAAGTTAATCGGATATCGTTTACCCTTTTATCCACTCACATTTGTATTCATTTTAATACTTTAAATCACAATTCTTAGGTTGTTTGGGGTGTCTTAAATAAGTGCATTTTTTATTTTTCTGGACTAAAATATTGAAAAAAAAATATAGATGTTTGGGTTAACTTTTTGACTTTTTATGAAAAAATATGTATCAAAAAATTGTATAAATTAGTATGTAGAAAAAAATTAGGATTGAGAGTTGTGTAGCCGTAATTTTTGACTTTTGATGAATAGTTATAACTTTTTAACTTTTTGAATAACTTTTTAACTTTTTGACAAATTCGCCTTATTTTATAGATACAAATGTGAGTGCAGGACACCATAAACAATATCTGATTAACTTTGATTTTTTTTTTTTTTTCAAGATATGGTTTACTTGATCTATTCTAAAATATGAACGGTTCAGTTCCCAAATGGGCCCATTTGGCTGCAGCACAGTGGCTACACAGCAGCCACCCCAAAATCCAAATCGACAACAAAATTTCACTCTGATCATAATACTGATAATGCTGCGAAGAACGAAGCAGCGCAAAGAGATAGAGATCATGTTACCTCAATGGCATCGACAGTGAGAAGCACGACAATGATCTTCTCAGAGAACCTCTGGCGCTCCTCAGCGTCACGGGCCAGGTGGCGACGGTAGGCAAAATTGTTGAACATAGCCCTAATTTCCTTCAACTTGGCCTTGGCAACAGCCAGGCTTCGGAGCGCACGAAGCGCCTGCGACCTCCTGATCAGATACTCCCTGAAGCTCATCTGTATCATCATCGCCGCATCTTGAGGCGACAACTCCTTCTTCTTTCCCTTGCACTTGTCCCTTTTCGCAAAAGCCTAAAATACACAAACCACCATTTCCAAATCAACGCCTCAAAATTACTACTAGTTTTCAAAATCATTATCAAAGTGATGTGATTAAAGAGTAAGATGATATACAGACCTGCCTTAGAACCACGACTCTATGATTTGAAGGCTCTTCTTCAATCTCGACCACACGAGTAGGGGCCACTTTTTTGTCACATTTCTTCTCTTTCTTATCCTTCTTCTTCTCTTTTTTATCCGATTCGCTGCAATCGCCGCCGGTGGATGATGTGAACGTGTAGGTCCGTGTGATCGGAGAGTCGTCGTTTTTGTCCTTGATCTCAGCCTTCCATTTGTACTTCTTCTCCTCCTTCTTCTTCTTCTTCCCACCTTTGATCTCCGCTATCAGTTTGTACTTGCGGTCAGGATCGCACTTCTCGGCACCCTTCAACTCCGCCGTCCACGTGTACTTCCGATCTCCGCCGCCTTGAGGTTTAGGTTTAGCGGTGAAAAGGCGTTCAAAGCTCTGCTCGAGCGAGGAGACCCGGTCGGAGAGGCTCTGCAAGTAGGAGTCCCCGTGGGGTCGGTGCTGAACCCTCCGAGTTGAGGTGGTGTAGAAGGGAGTTGTCTCGATCTGAATGAGATCGGTGAGGGTGTGGAAGTGATCGAAAGGTGAAGTGAAATCGAAGAGAGGTTGAGGAGAGGTAGGGTTTAAGAGATCGAGAGTGAAGTCGAGGTCGGGAAAACAGTGGGGGAGGATTAGGGTTTTGGGGGTGAAAATGGAGGTTTCTCTGAGGAAGAGAGAGGGTGGAGAAGAGGGCTCTATGATCTCGATTTTTCGGAAGCGGTTCATGGTTGATGGAATTGAGCTTGGACAGAGTGAGTGATGAGTAAGATGGATAGAGAGAGGGGATTTGGATACCGGTGGTATAAATAAAGGAATGTGTATTGTTTTTAATTGGCTGGGCTTCACTTTAATCGGTAATCGGTTTGGAGGGTAATGTAAGAGTTTATTACGAGCCATGTTTAATAATTTGAATAGTTTAATGTGTAAAATTCACTAAATATTATAGTATTATAAATAATTACGTTAATTGGATATTAAAAGGTATCTCATCAAATCAAATTTTTGTTAATTATTTATTTATTTTTCGTTTATTTTTTATACAAAATTAATTAAATAACATAACTATCGATATTCGATCAACGTAATATTTTATAAACATATATTATTTGACGAGTTTTATATATTTAACGGTTTAAATTATTAAAATAAAACTTATGATTATTGTTTTTTTCAAATTTAATAATATTTTTTAATTTAATCACGTACCGAAAAGAAACCGCTTTTGCTTTAATTTATTTGAAAAGAAAGAATGGCAGAGAGAGAAAGGTGAGACGATAAAGTAAGTGGCGAAAAAGCGGACGCGGGGGTGAGTCAAAACGATGGGATGATGATGCTGAAAAGGGTATAACTGGAAAGAAATACATTTATTGAAAATATATTTTTATTTTTATAAAGTGTAATTTTTTTTTTAATAATTTAGGTGGATGTTCGGCGCAACGGCTACCTGCAAAATTTGATGAAAAATTTAACTCTTCTTTTATTTGATATCAATTTGATAAAATGGTTGGAGCTGAGTTTTAACACGTTTTTCATCAAATTTGAATTTTATGAAACATTTGATGAAGGATTGGAGATGGCCTTATAGTTTAAGTAAAATGTTACTTTAATTTTTATATTTTTAATTTGAATAATTTAGTTTACATTTTCAATTTTGTTGTAATGTAGTCATTCTCTTCTGTCATTTACTAGACATCAAATTGGAATTCAAAAGGGAGAATAACATATTAGTGAGTGTTTTAAAATTTAAAAAAAAAAAAATCAAATTAATGATAAAATTTATAAACATTAATAATTAAAATGTATGTTTTATAATTGGTAGTGCTACATGCACTAATTAGTGTACTATTATTCGTTTTACAATAGATACAGATTTTGCAATACATAATTTTCTTTTATACACATTTGTTTTGCAATATATATGGAAATATATAATTTTAATTATATGTATGTTTTGCGTTAGTAGTCATAGGACTAAAAAATTCGTCAATTTTATTAGATAGAATAACTATTGAAATATAATTCAAATAATAAATTTCCAATTAAACAATAGAATGTAAGTCTTATAGCTTAATAATCTGAATCATATGTTATAATTCACCAAATCAAACAAGTCCTAGATATATAAAGATAAAGGAGAGACTTCTCTCTAGTTCATATAGTGGACTAGAGCATACTTTTAGACTCATGGGGTTCACTATGGGTCCCGTTTTGATAATTTAAACTGTTTAATGTGTAAAGCTCATCTAGTACTTGATGCCTGCAAAAAATCATGTTGATCAGACATCGCTAACCCTTCGATCGGAACACATTTTTGTTAATAACTTATTTTTAAAATTATATTTACCATTAACAAAAATGTGTTCGATTAAAGGGTTACTGATATCCGATCAACGTGATTTTTTGCAGACATGAACTAATTGATGAACTCTACATATTGAACGATTCAGATCATCAAAATAGAACCCCACAAGAATACATAGTGGAGTGGAGAGAAGCCATTTCTTAACGATAATATTATGTGACAATATTTTTAAGGGAGCATTTATTCATAAATCTCTCTTCACCTATTTATGTTTCACTTAATCTAAATATTTTCTTATGTTCTAATAAGTGCTATAGGTGATATAATTACCAAAATACCTCTAATAATAATAAGGCGAAGCACACATTAATGTTTACATTGATAGTGTGAATGTTCCGTAATGTTAAAATTCATACTGTCAATGTGAACATTCACAATGTCAAGTCATTGGTAAATTTTATAGACATTAATATTTAAAGTTTTAGGCCATGTTTGGTTTATATTTGTGAAACAATTTTGAAAATAATTTTCTGGAAAAAGTTTACAAAATTTAAAAATTTGTTTGGTTGTATATTTTGAAAATACTTTTGACGTTTTGAATGATTTAATTTTTTATATAGTTAAATAGATAGGTGTGAGAGAAAAAATAATTGATTGATGTGTAGGATGTGAGATAAAAGAAGAAGAGAGAGGAAAAAAAAGTGATTAATTGATGTATAGTTGAGAGAAAAGTGATTTTTGATTTTTTCAACCAAAAAAAATTTTGAATTCTTTTTCTCAAAGATGGCCTCTCAAAAACCAATAAGGCATTGAACTTTATAAACATTGAGCCCGACTAATGTTTGAAGCATTGAGAAGGTTCTTTGAAAGAATTCGAAAGTACAAGTTAAGGTTGAACTCACAAAAATTTACTTTCGAGGTGACTGCAGGAAAGATGCTGGGGTTCCTAATCACGCAACGTGGAATGGAGGTTGACCCATTCAAAATCAAGGCCATCTTAGGAATGCCTCCACCAATGACTGAAAATGAGGTGCGAGGTTTTCTAGGAAAAGTGCAATTCATAAGAAGGTTTATTTTTAAATTAGCCTCCACTTGTGAACCACTCTTTGACTTGCTAAAAAAAAAGAAAGAAATTCTAATGGAATGACCTATAGCATTTGTGTCCTTTAAACTATTGGGGAGTGTATTTAAATATTTTATTTCATTTTGGGAGTCTTAGGAGTTATATCTTGGTTTTGGAGGCGTACAAATCGATTTAAACTTGTTAGGATTGTTCATTCAGGCTTGTTTACGTTGAAAAGTTGTTTGGGAACTTAGAAATCTTGTTCTGGGGTCGACACTAGTTTTGGTGGTGTCGACACTTGCCTTTTGTTGTTGGCATTAAAGATCGACACTTTCCTCTCATTAATTTCCCTTTTCTTTTCCTCTCAAACCGTGACTTCTCTTTTCTCTCTCTAAACTTAACTTCTTCACACTTAGATCTTCAGATCCTCTCACCTAGAGCCATCTTTTCACTTTGGTTCTTTAGGAAAGGTTGTAGATCTTGCCGGGGACTTTCTATTGATTTGAGAAGTTCGTGGTTTTGTTGACTTTGGGTTTTTGGATTTTTCCTCTTCACAACTTGAGATAGGGATACATTTACCCTAGTATTTCTTTATTTTGAAGAGATTTCATTGTATTGTTATGACTTATGAGCTAATTTGAGGATCTTATTGGATTAAACCCATGTTTTACATAAATAAATCATTTTGCTTGACTTTTTCTTGAAATTTTTCCCTTTTTTTTTAAAATATGTATATAAATGTTGTTAAAACCTATATCTAAGATGAAGGAGAAAAACTCCCAAATTTGGTAAAATCCTAAATTCTCAACTTGAGTAGAAAACATTAAATTGAATGGAATTTCCATTGTGTAGACGCGCCCTTGGGCCTCATGCTACAGTTCGAACTCAAATGTCACAGTTCTTAATCTGACCTCACAATGTGCGATGTGAGATTGATAAATCACCAAAGAGTCCAAATCCGGCAAATTGTTTTGGAAAACTGATTTTTAAGAAAGAAGTGCCAAATATGGACTGTTTTGCCAGATACAGAGTCGCCACCTAAATATTTTATTTTGGGAGAATTTAGGAAACCCTGACTCGTTGCCTAAGGCCACGTGTCCGTCATCACTAAAATTGCCTCGACTCGGGAACTTGGGTACGAGAGGGGAAGGTCATGCAATGAGCACCCCCGCTTGCCCGATCGAAGATCGGCCTGTACTAAGCATGATATTTTGTTTTGAAAACATATGCGTTCTTATTTCGGTTATTAGCCTAAAATTACTATGTGATGCGCACAACAGACAAGTATAGACCGGATCGCCTAAATTGGAACAAAACATTTCATGTTGGTTTATTTGAAAAAGGTTTGATGGTGCTACTCGCAAGTAGGCTAAGAAGTGGATTTGCCACCCTCGGGTGGGCTTAGAAAATATGATTTTTGCTACTCCGCAGAGTGGGCTTAAAACTCGCATTCAATGAATTATTCCAATTCAGGTAGTCCAACCTTCACCCACAGGCATTCAGGCAGTTATATCACATAAGCAAATAGCCTCATGGCAATCATGCTATCATGGCAACACTTATACACATGCGGTATGCTAAAGCGTAATCGCTTACCTAGTATTCCGAGCCAAAACAATAGCTAGTTAGTAATCAAATACATGATCCTAGTTCATGTTAAGATGGCTAATACAAAAATGCAACTAGAATAGGCTCGGCCAACCTAAGAATGGCATGTGAAATACGACAACTTGATACACGTATTCAAATTGAAATTGAAATACTATGCAGTTAGTATGATGCGTCGAGCCCGGTGCATGCAATACAGAGAAATGGATACACGCATGCAAAGTATAAGGTATGCCAATTGAAAATGCCCTAAAACTAACCATCGAAAGCGGTTAAGTAAAAGGGAGAAAGAAATGGGGGTTGGAAGACATGCACACACACGCACCCTTATTACAACATATGCCCTCTCGAAAG